GATGACTATCCTGGGACTCTCGCTGTCTACTAGCTTCTTTCCAAACGAGTTAAGGACCGATTAAATTCATTTGCACACACGATATTCTACTGGCTATCATATAGCCCACCTATGCATGCATGAAATAGGTAAATAAATATTTGCTGCAATGTGCATGGAAACAAAAAAACATGTGCAGTGTGCATGCTTGTACGACATGAAAGGAAGCCAAAATCATGATTGGTAAAGTTGCCATTGCATATGTAGGAGGATGCCACATGAAGTGGACAGTTTTTTTTTATTGAGGTGAGGAGGAAATCCTTGCCGTTCCTGGTCCTCCAATTTCAAATGCTCATATTTCAAACAAAATTAGAATATTGCTGCCGTTTCACATGTACATCTGAAGCACTTTTCTCGTTTCATTCAGAGTTGCTGTTTTCGAAGTTGATACATCTCAACCACTTTTCCATGTAGCGACCCTCTCGTGCCCTTTTCAGGCCAACTATGGTTCAAATAATAAACTAACACAAAAAACCGCTTCTGATTACGTGATGTCAAGGCTTTGAAAGCGGAAAACAACTTTTGCAACAAAACTGACAAAACTTCCGAGGCTGCGAGAAAGCGCTTTGAAATGATATGTAAACTTTCATCGGTTCGTCAGAAATTCAGTCACAACTGAAGCATTTATTTAGCGCAAACAAAATCGGCAGAGGCTTCCCGAACAGTCCACTAGATACTATATTGGCACTTCATAGTGTGACGTGCGACCACGCAAAAGGATGTGGAAGAAGGCGCAGGATTGTGTTCACAATATGGTGACGTTACTCACTCCAGCTATACATATTAGTGGACCTCACTGCATCCCTAACAATGTCACGCTTTTGGATTTGGCTCTTTTGCAAAAGTTAACAGCAGCCATCTGATGCGCATTCTGTCAGCGCCTGCCTGGAACGCTTGAGGAGACTTGCCAATGTTTTGCTTCCGTTCCTCTTTTGATTTGGTTTTGACGACTCCGGCAATTCCTCCAGCCATACGGTTACCTTCGATACGATGGTGAGCGTGAAATTTATCATAAGAACAATGAGTAATAGAATAAATTTAATAGCCACCTTTTTCAGCGCTGTTTTGCTTCTTATCCGCTTGCCGCTGTTCCTCGTTTGATTTCGTTTTGGCGCCCCCGGAGGCTCCTCCAGCCTTACGTTTGCCTTAAATAACAAACATTGTGAGAAAAGCTCATCCCACAATGAACAACATAAATATTTATGGAGGTTACCTTTCTCAGCACTGTTTTGTTTCTTGTCCGCTTGGCGCTTTTTCTCCTTTGAATTCATTTTGAAGACTCCCGAGTATCCTCCAGCCTTTTTGCGATCCGCTTAAAGGCGCATTTTCAGAACTCAATGTAGACGAGGTAGAGAAGTAAAATGGACTGTTAGTGAACCGCCAAAGACACTAAAAGTTTGCACATAATTTTTGTGATGCGAACTATGCTGCGACGCAGCTGAGTGCCGAGTAGAGAGATGGGGTGAGAAAAGTATTCGATGCAAGGACAAAGAACACCATCCCCTCCCCGAAGAGACGGTTGCATAGGAATCATCAGCGCAAGCGCCCGAGGCCTACATCCTTGCCTCCACCCGCGATAACGCTACATCTTTGAATTGCTCAATCCTACTAATGAAAGCGATTGCTTCACCCGACTAAATCATGAAATGTGCCTCTAACGAACCACATCAACAATGGGAGAGGATTATGAGGGTTTTATAGTTGACATCATCTTAGTCTCCGAATAGTGTAACGTAACATTTTGTCCTATTGGCTTGAAATATCAAGTGAATAGATTGGGATTCCTAATCTATGGCATCGCACCGGATTGTAACAGATATGATAGTGCATGTTTTCCTATTTTCTAGATTTCAAAACAATATAGTAGTGTTGTGAACAGCTTAAAGTTTCTCTGTTAGCAGAAAAAGCTAATGTGGTCTTTACATCTTCAGATGATGAAAAAGGTGCGATGAGGACTCAGATAAGTTGCCACTAAGTGATGATTTGAAATTCATACCTTTTGTTGTAGATGCTAGAAGTCTGTTCCTGAGCATCACTGAAACAATAACTTGTATGATCTGTTGTTCCCAAGATATGTGATCCAAGAAATAAAAATTACATCTCACTGTCAGATCCTCATCGCGGTTTCCTCTTGAATTTGATAGCGGCACTAACAGCTCCGGTTTGAGAGTGATTAGAAGCAACAGGACCTGAAGCAGGGTCAACCGTTACGTTGGACCGATATTGGAGCGACGTTGGACCGATGTTGACCGCTCTCCGCGCCGGCATTCACTCTCGCCACCCGCGAGCCGTCTGTGTCTCCGTGCGTACGTTCACTCTCGGCATTACTCTCGTCGTCGCGTTGGACTTTGTCCAACGGACGGTTGACCCTGTAGCGTAAGTGCCACGAGAACGGAAGA